TCCAGACCAGGGTTTTTGTTTGCTGGGAGTTTTTTTATTACTGCTTTGATTTCATCGGTTGTTATTACCTTATTCAGGTTTTCTGATTCTTCCTGATTCAGTTTTACATGATCTCACACATATGTGGAATTTAATAAACAGAATAGTTCCAGAGATATAGAAGCATGTAACAGACTGATGAATCTCAGTGGAAAGGCGGAGGTGAGGGAGTGGATGGGGAGAGATTAATCACAGAACTTATATGCATATATGCATAACCAATGGACACAGACAAAAGTGTGGTGAAGGCATGAGGGGGGAAGGGATGCGAGGTGGAAGGGATCAATGGAGGAAAAAAGGAGGGACATCTGTAATACTTTCAACAATAAAGATAAATTTTTTAAAAAATACTGGCCTGGCAAGTGTGGCTTAGTAGTTGAGCATTGACCCATGCACCAGGAGGTTGCCAGTTGGATTCTGGGGCGTGTGCTGCAGAANTTTCAATCCTGGCCAAAGGCACACACCTCGACTGCAGGCTCAATCCCCGGCTCCCGTCTGGGCACTTGGGGGAGGCAACCAGTGGATATGTCTCTCTCACATTGATGTTTCTTTCTTTCTCACTTCCACTCTCAGAAAAGCAATGGAAAAAATATCCTTGGTGAGGATTAAAATATATATATATATATTTTTAAGAAAAGAAAAAATAGGGTGAAAGGAGAGAGTTTACTTCTGCTCCACCATCCCTCCACATAATTGATTTTACTAGTATTTGCATTGCTTCCACTCAGTGTTCAGCGAATTTATATCATACAAAACATATGGCACTCTTAAATATAAAGAACATTATGTTATGTGAAACATACAACTATGCTGATAGGTAACCTAGGGGAGTCTATACCAATTTCACAAATTAATAAATGAGGCTCCAAAGATTAGGTGACCTAAATTATAGTTCCCTGACTTTGAGATTTTATTTTATTTTATTTTGTTTTTTAATTTTATTGTTGTGTAAAATATTACAGATGTCCCTTTTTCTCCCCAATGACCCATTCCACCCAGTTCCTTCCCTCTCCCCAGTCCCTCTCCCCACCATTGTCTATGTTCTTGGGTTGTGTATATATGCACATAAATTCTTTGGTTACTCTCTCCCCCTCCACCCACCCTCCCTCCTCCATCCCTCTGACATTCATCAGTCTCATCTATGCTTCCATGTCATTGAATCTATTCTGTTCATCAGTTTATTAAATTCTTTAGATTCCAC